ATTGCGTGCATGTAAGTCGCACACTTGCTACAGCAGTTCTGTGTACACGTGTGCAAATACCTGTGTAAATACCTTACAATTGCTCTTACCACACTCAAACTATTGCCAACATTTTTCAGCCACATAAAGAAACAGTGCATTGTCAAAATATTATCCCAGTTGATAAGTACGATAACAATGTCAAAGGTACATATAAACTTTAATGGAGGGATCATGAGACCATAACAAGTCGGGAGAATTTCAATTGAAAAGTCAATCACAATGACGTCACGAGTCCACAAGCGGGCCAGGGGTCAAACGACCATGTCACAAGCTCAATAACGGGTATGTCCACCATCGGCATTGAGAACAGCAGTGCATCTCGTCTATCAAACGTGCAAGGAGGCTCTATCGGGTCACGAGATCCAAGGTGAATTTGCAAGGTCAAGGCATCTGGCGGATGAGGAAGTCAACGTTGTGGGGTCCCAAACATGCTCTATCGGGGAAGAAATCCGGTGAATTTGCAGGCCAAGGCCAACTTGCCGTATGACCCTTGGGCGGGCATTGTCCTGTTGGAATGTGAACCCAGGGCCATGACGGTGCAGAAAAGGAATTGCCACAGGTCGAAGAATCTGATCCCTGTAGCCCACACCAGTTAAGTTGCCCTGAACAATCACCAAAGGAGTTCTTTGGCGTGCTGTTATTCCACCCCAAATCATCACGGAACCACCACCAAAGCGATTCCTCTCCAAGACACAGGCCTGTGCATAACGTTCTCCCACGCGTCTATAGGCACGTTGACGTCCATCACTATGGGAAATGTTAAACCTGGACTCATCTGTAAAAACAACATTTCTCCACCAAACAAGGGTCTGCGGACATGATTTCGGCACCACATTCGGCGAGCCTGTCGATGACGCTGTGTCAGGATAGGCCGTATGGCGGGACGTCGTGGTCTGATCCCGTGATGACGTAAACGTTGTCGAACTGTGTTGGGGTGGATACGGCGAAGTCCTGGGATGGTTCGGGCAGTCATCACTGCAGTCTGAAACCTGTGGCGAAGATGGGTCACCCTTATCCATCTGTCCTGTCTTGGCGTTGTTACACGTGGACGTCCAGAACGTGGCCGATCGATGACGTCATTTGTGTTCTGGTAGCGTCTCACCAGTGCAGAAATGGTGTTCCGTTGGCAGTGGAAATGTGCAGCCACTTGTCGTTGAGACATTCCCCAACGGACCATCCCAATGGCCTCATGACGTTGTGCAGACGTGAGCCTTGGCATGCTATGCGTTTCAATAGCCGTTTAATTTTTTGAACGATCGCAAGGGCAGGGGTTGAGCTTTCCAAAGTGACAGTATTGTGTGGCATTCATTTGGTCGGTTTCTCTTTCCCGGAATGCACATGCAACAACGTATTGCACGTCTCAAGGACGAACCCACTGACGTCACGGAACCTGACACGTGCATGCATATTGGATACATGCCACTAATCTCTGAGTTTAAATCCTTATGTGTCTACACAGGTTTGATAAATTTAGATTTTAAATTATTGCATGCACAGTTTCTTTATGTGCCTAGTATATATCCCTGGGTATCCTTGTCTATAGTGTATTATCGAGTATTGGTGTGGGGCGTTGAGTACCGTCGTTTCGAGACAGCGCCACCTAGCTAGGAGGGGCGCAGCAAACGCCGCTTCGTGACCGCAGCTGCTGAATGTTAGATGAAGCACTCCCTGGAGACTGGTTCTTCTATAGGAGGGACCTCAAGCATTGCAACGTGCCCTAACACATACACTACACACAACCATTAGTAGTACTATTTGAATTCGTAAAGGAGAATTCGGTTTGATTGTGTAAGTCATGTAAACCTTTGTTGGCGTGGCATAACTAGTCGTGGGTTTGGCTGCGTGCATGTTCGGTGAACGTGATCAAATCTGACGCCATTACGTTATTCTCCGACTATGGACACAATGCTTTGTTTCCTCATGACTTGTGACACTAAACAACGCTTACCCCTTTTGATAACCTACTGACTGACTGACTGAGTTTGGTTTTACGCCGCTTTTAGCAATATTCCAGCAACATCACGGCTGGGGACACCAGAAATGGGCTTCACACATTGTACCCATGTGGGGATTCGAACCCGGGTCTTCGGCGTGACGAGCCAACGCTTTAACCACTAGGCTACCCCACCGCCCCTTTTGATAACCTACAAGAAGACATCGTATCCCAATTGAGTAGATCGATGCTCATGCTGTTGATCACTGGATTGTCTGGTCCAGACCTGATTATTTACCGACCGCCGCCATATAACTGGAATATTGTTGAGTGCGACGTTAAACAGCAAACAACAAAATCTAGAAGAGGAACAATTTGTACGTTACTGGAAATGATAAGTTCACACTGATATCTATGTTTATATATATATATATGTAGAATGGTCGTACCCCGACGGCACAGAAAGGTGCTCATTGTAACAACCACTGGTTTGTCTGGCCAGGGAACGCTCACCCCAATCCGATTTGATATGGTAAAATATAGCCCAAACAGCATTCATCCATTCACAAACATGGTTTATACTTAACCAAATTGACGGAAATCTGATATATCTGACTATTGTGATTGAAGCTTGTGAGACTTTTGTATCAAAGCAGCGACCTGGAAACCCCGACATCTGATCAATGCTCATGTACAATGAATGTTTGTCGTGAGGGCGCCATCTGGTGCTGGATAGTGATACTATGTACGTGATAGCCCTGGTTGCGTTTGGGCAAATGTTATGCTTTCATGAACATGTGTTCACCAGCCAGACGCTACATACAACATGTATGATACTGATGCGGCAATTATTATCACAGTGCAGTGACTTATGCTTGTTGTCACAAGTTACTGGTGATAGTTTGGTCGTGTCCCTGTTCAGATTGCGCGTCGTATTACCTCGGTAGCACGTGCAAGTTATGCCCCATTGCAACCGTGACCTTGACAGACCCTGAAAGACCCGGACAGAACGTTGAGATGTCTGTCCAGGAAGTCGTCACTAAGATATCATGTGACTATGACAATTCTGCCCTCGCCCAAACAGTGTAGCAATAATCTCTCGAGAACCCTTCAGATCACTTATATCTTTGGTGTTGTAACGCTGGACGCATGATGGGGACGTGGGACTATCGTTTGATTAATTATGTAAATAACATATACAGTGGAAACCTGATAAGTAAAATTCCAAGGGACTCGCCAAAATTGTTTACTTATCAGGTATTTTGCTTATCAAAACCTATAAAAATCTGCAAATGACAACCGTATGCATGTATATGTATGCATATGTAACAATGAACAACTTATCAGGGATGGCCTCCAGTTGTCAGTGTATTGTCAACTGCTTGACGCCAGCGAGCTGTAAGTAGGATGTTTGTTTAACTGGAGACTGACACTTGCCCCTCATGTCGGATTATGTGGTGATCGCTAATTTAGTTATCCAGTCTCTTTTGTTAAGTAATTTTCTTCAAGGGACTGTGACAAGACGTTTAGTTAAGCGGTATTGTTTACTTATCCAAGTTTAGTTAACAGGACTCTAATAGTGATAAATAATTAAGAAATTTGCCGGGACCAAGGAAAAGTGTTTACTTATCAGGTCTGTTTAGTTAAGCGGTCTTTACTTAGACGGTTTCCACTGTATGTTGTCTCGGCATTTTGTGCTTAACAAGTAGAGCAGAGAGCAATCCTGGTCAAACATGGCGGCCCATTGCGGCTGTATTCAGTTTATCTTGATTACGACAACATGCATAAACCAGGACAGGAAACGGAAGGAACACACTCACTGGAAACAATTCATCGACATTTTCTTCAGTGAAGATTGCGTTTATCTGAGTAAGGAAACATTAGCTTTATGTAATATATTAATATATGTACAAAGTTCTGGAAGTGTCTTCACATATTCATACGATTTGTTAACATTAACTTGAAATGTCTTGTTTTGACTGTCCATCCATCTCAGTACCCATCAACCAACCCAGACACTCACTCACCCACCCACGAAGGTACCCATCCACCAACCAACCCAGACACTCACTCACCCACCCACAAAGGTACTCGTCTACCAACCAACCTAACACTTCTCTACCTACCCACCCATGAACGTATCCATCCATCAACCAACCCAGACAGTCACTCACCCACCCACTAAGGTACTCGTCTACCAACCAACCTAACACTCCTCTACCTACACCCTACCCATCTCACATACCCACCCACAAACGGACTCCATCCACCAACATAACCCAGACACTCACTCATTCACCCACCCACTAAGGTACTCGTCTACCAACCAACCTAACACTCCTCTACCTACCCACCCACAAACGTACCCATCCACCAACCAACATCGACACTCTCTCACTCTATTCACCCACCGCACAAACTCTGTCTACCAACCAACCTAACAACATCACCTACCCACCCACAAACGTACCCATCCCACCAGAACTCACTCACCCATCAAGGACATCGTCTACCAACCAACTCACTCACTCACATCCATCAACCGCCATACTCACTCAACATCGACCTCATCCAACCCACAAACGTACCCATCCACCAACCCATCCACACCAACCATTCACATCACAAACGACCCATCCACCAACCAACATCGACACTCACTCACTCATTCATCCACCCACAAACGGACCCATCCACCAACCAACATCGACACTCACTCACTCATTCATCCACCCACAAACGGACCCATCCACCAACCAACATCCACCCACAAACGGACACTCACTCACTCATTCATCCACCCACAAACGGACCCATCCACCAATCCACTTCAAATCACTCATTCAGAACATCACTCACGCAACCACCACGGACACTCACTAATTTCCCACTGCCCCACCGTCAGTGTAACCATGCCGCCTACGCCTCCGCTCCCTACACCCCTGACCCCCTCCCCACCCGAGAGACAGGGTTTGTCTGTACCCACATTGCCGCATCTTACTTGTGTCTTCTCTATCTCCCCCAGGATGTGTCCACGCAGACAGACATCACGTCAGAATCCATCATCGTCGCCATCCCCAAGTCGCTGCTGATGAGGACTAAACGGCAAGGCAACTGTCTGGACCAGGCTTCCTTCATGGACACGGTTCTTCATCGCGCCCTTAGCATGGACAGCCTCAGCCGAAACTACATCCCCCAGGGCAACTTCAACTGGAGGTCGTGCGTGACCATGCTCGGTGTCAGCATCATACAGCAACTCATCCACATATGAGAGGCACTCGGGACAACTCGGGTCCTCTCGGGTACAACTCGGCATATTCCGCTACTCTTACGGTACTTCGGGCAAACATTTCAATTTGACACGGAATTTCGTATATAAGGTTAACACCCAGGTTGTGTTGTGTGTTGTGTCACGTGCTTGGAGCTAGTTCCACTGGATTCTTGTTTGAGTCGGGCCGAGAAGGCCGAGTTGTTCCAGCAGTTGTCTCCCTTTCAAAGTTAACGGTGCCACCTTTAAAAACGAGATTGCAAGAAGCATAATATGATTTATTATTCTCTACAGTTAATGTGTACACGGAGTGAAACAGAACGAAAGGGTATCACATATTGCAGTAAATGCCAGTTACATATGTAAATTAATGGAAATCAAGAACCGCATCCTTTCCCCATCGCATCATCTGGTTTCTGAACACAGGAAGGGTATAACGAAACAGTCCTTGGTATGGCGGGGCTGTTTCCTTTCTAATCCTTTCGAAAACCAGGAAGATGGGCGAGGATTGAGGTAGATCCGATCCTTTAGGCATGGTGTATACACGTGGTGGAGAGACAAGTGTGTTTCGGTTGCAGTCTTCCGCCTCGTCGTTGTCATTGAAGGTGGAGTATACAGGAAGCCCTCTGCCTTCACGTTTTGTCCACCATGTGTCTTCATAATTTATATGCAGTGTTCACAGGCGCCCTCCGCCAGCCGCCAGCTGACGTCCTCGACCGACTGCACCCGCGTCAGCTACGACATCATGTGCTACGATGCACCTGCTTGCTTCAGTTTCGTCCATTTCGGAAGTGTTGATACAACACGTTGGTGATAGAAGCTTGCTTGAAAGGATAGCCTCCCTTACATCCGGGTCCACCGGAAGAAACAAGAACTTCAAGCACCTGCCGCCCTACTGCTACACCAGCTGCCGATGCAGATGCTCGACATTCTCAGATCTTAATCTCAAAGGATTGTTTTTGTCATGGGACATAAGCTCTCATACTTGATTTGTACATTTTCTAACCACACTACACCACATTTTCTGATACAATGTGACTGAGAGGGAGCACTCACTCACTCATTCATCCACCCACAAACGGACCCATCCACCAATCCACTTCAAATCACTCATTCAGAACATCACTCACGCAACCACCACGGACACTCACTAATTTCCCACTGCCCCACCGTCAGTGTAACCATGCCGCCTACGCCCCCGCTCCCTACACCCCTGACCCCCTCCCCACCCGAGAGACAGGGTTTGTCTGTACCCACATTGCCGCATCTTACTTGTGTCTTCTCTATCTCCCCCAGGATGTGTCCACGCAGACAGACATCACGTCAGAATCCATCATCGTCGCCATCCCCAAGTCGCTGCTGATGAGGACTAAACGGCAAGGCAACTGTCTGGACCAGGCTTCCTTCATGGACACGGTTCTTCATCGCGCCCTTAGCATGGACAGCCTCAGCCGAAACTACATCCCCCAGGGCAACTTCAACTGGAGGTCGTGCGTGACCATGCTCGGTGTCAGCATCATACAGCAACTCATCCACATATGAGAGGCACTCGGGACAACTCGGGTCCTCTCGGGTACAACTCGGCATATTCCGCTACTCTTACGGTACTTCGGGCAAACATTTCAATTTGACACGGAATTTCGTATATAAGGTTAACACCCAGGTTGTGTTGTGTGTTGTGTCACGTGCTTGAAGCTAGTTCCACTGGATTCTTGTTTGAGTCGGGCCGAGAAGGCCGAGTTGTTCCAGCAGTTGTCTCCCCTTCAAAAGTTAACGGTGCCACCTTTAAAAACGAGATTGCAAGAAGCATAATATGATTTATTATTCTCTACAGTTAATGTGTACACGGATTGAAACAGAACGAAAGGGTATCACATATTGCAGTAAATGCCAGTCACATATGTAAATTAATGGAAATCAAGAACCGTATCCTTTCCCCATCGCATCATCTGGTTTCTGAACACAGGAAGGGTATAACGAAACAGTCCTTGGTATGGCGGGGCTGTTTCCTTTCTAATCCTTTCGAAAACCAGGAAGATGGGCGAGGATTGAGGTAGATCCGATCCTTTAGGCATGGTGTATACACGTGGTGGAGAGACAAGTGTGTTTCGGTTGCAGTCTTCCGCCTCGTCGTTGTCATTGAAGGTGGAGTATATAGGAAGCCCTCATAATTTATATGCAGTGTTCACAGGCGCCCTCCGCCAGCCGTCAGCCGACGTCCTCGACCGACTGCACCCGCGACATCATGTGCTACGATGCACCTGCTTGCTTCAGTTTCGTCCATTTCGGAAGTGTTGATACAACACGTTGGTGATAGAAGCTTGCTTGAAAGGATAGCCTCCCTTACATCCGGGTCCACCGGAAGAAACAAGAACTTCAAGCACCTGCCGCCCTACTGCTACACCAGCTGCCGATGCAGATGCTCGACATTCTCAGATCTTAATCTCAAAGGATTGTTTTTGTCATGGGACATAAGCTCTCATACTTGATTTGTACATTTTCTAACCACACTACACCACATTTTCTGATACAATGTGACTGAGAGGGAGATTGGGTGAGTCGATTGGACAAAGTGACCGAGAACAGTGTTTGCAAAGTGTACAGTGTATGTTAGCCGCAATGGAAACTGGGAACTGTATTGAAATTATGTGATACAACAGACCAACTAAAGTCGTGCAAGTCTGTTCCTGGGAACTGATCAGGTGTCCTGTCGTGGCTGTAGCAGAGTCCCGACAGACCTTGATTCTGCTGACTTACTGGAGTAGCCATGTGGACGAGGAATTCTTTCTTCACGCCGTAGACCTGTGTTCGATTCTCAACTTGGATACAATATGTGAAGCTGCTGCCCCCGCCGTGATTTGACTTGTATCTGCTACAAGCGCTGTAAAACGTCACTCCTTCCTCTACCACCCGTCATCACCGCAGTGCTGACATCGTTGTGTTACCAACGTACTTCTAGGTTCATATCAGAACTGTATGGCGTTCAGCGTCAGGACAGGCATTTGCTCTGTGACAGATACATGCTATGCTATATGCTATGATATGTGATATATATGCCTCTATGTATAATCACTGTGATAACAAAGCCACGAAGGAGATGCCGACTGTGGTGTGCACTGGCTTGGACCTTCGTGCTTCTTTCATGTTATTGAGCATCACTGCAGCTGAGGGGACAGTGTTAGCCTAGTTTCAACAGGCGATCTGCATATTCTTCCCGCTATTTTCACATATCACTTGAGTGGAACTTCTTGTATATTAGTGGCCTGGGACTTTGGGGAGCGGCCTTCATATTTTCATATTCAAACTTCTGTACATGCAGTAAGATAAAGTATTTTTCCTTCGAGTCATGATGAGCGAGGTAGTTTGCCAGCTAGTATCTACGGGGGTTGTTTGATTAGTTCTACGCCTCACATGCTCCTTCAATATACATTTTGTTCAGAAGTACAGTCCATTATCATAGAAACTTTGAAAAGAAGAAACTATCGGCTCGTTGAATCCCAAAGCATCTAAAACCTAATAATAAACGCACATGCACAGCACGTGATGATCTCTGTTTGAAGCTGACCCAGGGAGGTTATTGCAAGCGACCATAGACGAAACCCTGGTTCATCACCAGCCATGGACAAGGCAACCATCTGCACATTCGTCAGATATGTAGATTTTCCTTGCATATTGTTTGTGGATTTACCTGTATGGCATCATTTCAGGTCCAAAACAAAAGATTTTACCATAACGCAAAGCCTCCAACACGAGGCATAAAACTTATCAAACAAGCCTCGTATACTTGGCATGAATGACTCGGCGAAGCCACGATATGATGTAAAGTTGCAAATGTGTGTATGTTACATTAAATACATCTACACGTCAGTAACTGACCTTTGTATGGAGGACCTTGGTGCAACAGCTGTGATACAAGCTAACTGTCTTGATAGAAGCCAATATCACTTGTATACCGGAATGGCTCGAACAGTTACGAATGAGTTACGAAAATTGTAAGACCAAATCGGGCCTTTCCGGCACAAAAATTTCGTGCAGCGGATCTTTGCGAAATGTGAATGTGCATTTGTTTGGAAATTCAGGACAATCTCAGAGCCGTTGTTTAACGAATAAGAAAGATATATCTAATTATAGTAAAGAGGCTCCAAGTATGTGACTGGGTTGTGAAACGCTGGTAAATGGCGTTATACGGGTATACACGTGTATGTGCAGTAAAGAGTGAAAATGTTTTCGAAATACGTTTACGGTATAGGTAAACCGACATCTGAACTGTGGGTAACCATCGAGGAAGTCCGTTTCGAGAATACAAAATGCATTTACATACATGCATACATACATTTTGTTGCATGAACTGTTCATGTAACGTGCATAGATTTACATACATACATACATACATACATACGTACATACCTACATACATACATATAGATATCAATTGCACATGTATGCATTTTATCGTGTTGAATTTTGCTTTCTCTGGTGTTGCTTGTCTTTAAGGACTTTATTGAGATATTTATTTGATTGTTTGATTAATTAGAAGCACGTGCAAATAGAATGGTATGACAGTCCTGTGTTCTCACAGAAGGTGTGCAAGGTAAGAATGTGCCTAAATTGGAATAAATACTTTAGAGTATTTATTACTTGAAGGGAGACTAGTGAAATTTGATTCGTCATTCAAAAACTTTTGAGCTGTAAACGGGCGTGTTATGATATATACACAGCGTCATTATTGAGGGTCACGCATAAACTAAGACTTAAAACGTGGCATTTTTAACTTCCAAGAGGTCATTCAGTTGCATCTGGAATAAGCCATCTTATCCAAACATTGACGGTGCACGCACATGCGTTAAAACACAAGTTGCGTTCTGGTAGATGTTTGAGGGTAGCTTCTCCCAAAGTGCGTTCTTTTCACTGTGTTTAAAAACCGTCGTCCATGTTTCCAAGTTCATAAAAGCACCCAGGCAGCATGACAGGCATAAACAAGATGTTCTTCAACTGTTGGGGCGGTGGGGTAGCATAGTTGTTAAAACGATATCTCGTCACGCCGAATACCCGGGTTCGATTCCCAACATGGGTACAATGTGTGAAGCCTATTTGTGGTCATCCTCGATAATCTCAAGGGTATACGTTACGATCACTCTCCACTATACCCCGGATGCATCCACGGCGATGATTATATTACCTCCCTTTGCTGGCTCCACATTCTCACAGTAGCCAATCAGCTAAGCCGCCGTTACATCCGAGCTTGCCAGTGTCAACAAAGACAGCTGTCGCAGTCGCGAAGGTTTGTTCGCAGTGCCACTCATATTTTTGGATAAATCATACAGACAAATTGACAGATCTGAAACTTAAAAATATATATGAAAGAACTCCTT